TTTTTTTCACACCGATAAACGTTTTTGAAATGACGAGAAGTGTTTGGTACCGATATGATCAGTTATTGCCTCAGATACTCGATCCTCCAGAGATATTGGATGGGAAATGCTTTGAACTGGCTCAACTACTTCTTCGCAGCAAATGTGTGTTTGTAGTCACGGGAGCAGGTAACCCTTAATCAAAAGCGAAAGAATGAGATGTAGGTAATCGTTCACCTGCAGGGATCTCCACTTCCGCAGGTATCGCTGACTTTCGCGGGCCTAAAGGCGTGTGGACTGTTGAGAAGGAGGGTCGTGTCGCAGACAGTGTGGATTTCACGCGGGCTAGACCAACGCTAACTCACCGAGCCCTAAAATTGCTTGAAGAGCGAGGGCTTATAAAGTAAAGGCAATTTTTGGATAAATGTTCCTCGATAAAGTCTCTTCTCTTAAGGTTCTTAGTCTCGCAAAATGTCGATGGACTACATCCAAAATCATCATTTCCCTTGAATCGACTTGCTGAACTTCATGGTAACGTATTTTGTGAACAGTGTGAGAGATGTTCGAGGTATGAAACTTTTTCCCTTTAGTTGTTGTCAATGTTGACATGGAAGTTGTTATGCTGAGAAAGTTCGAATTTTAGGCGATACTACCGTGATTTTGCGACAGGCACTGTGGGACTGAAGCTCACAGGTCGGTCTTGCGAAGGTACTCCCGCTGGCCGAGCTTGTCGCGGTCGACTTCGTGACACGACATTAGATTGGGAAGATTCATTACCAGAACCAGATCTGACCATAGCATACAGTTTCGCTAAGGTGTGGTCTTAAATCCATATATAATATCGCATGCTCGATTAGTGGTGAGGACTGAGTGTTTCAGAACGCTGACTTATCGTTGTGCTTAGGAACGTCGCTACAAATAGTGCCGGTTGGAAATATGCCGTTACTAGCCCAGAAGAATGGCGGGAAAATGGTGACAGTGAATTTGCAAGCGACAAAGCATGTATGAATCTTACACAAATTTGGCAGTATGAATCTATGGCATCCGCTAGCTTGGTTTTCTCTTGTAATCATAGAAAAACTCATGACTGGACATTATCACAAGACTTTTTTAAGGAAAAGAAAGCAGACTTGGCTATTCACGGAATGGTTGATGATGTTATGGCTCGGGTGTTGAAACATCTTGATATACCAATGGAAGGTGCTGAAGAGAAAACCGAAGGTATGCGTTTGGAAATTCTATTCCTGCACAAGTACTATATAAAGAAAGAATTTGGAGTATTGTAACTGTAATCAATTCATGTGAGGAAGCATTAAAGAGGCCTAGATTTCTTCTTTGATTGGCAGGAGTAAAAGAGTAAGGCAAATGATATGGAAGAATTTTTTAAAATCATTCCTTATTAATGGCTTTGATTCTTCGCTTAGAAATCGTCTGGAAGTCCATCCATCCATTAGAGGAATTCAAGAATCCTAAGAAGTTGCGAAAAAGGCGTGCAGAGAAGGCTGAACACGCGGATCCTCCGGACAAAAATGCGAAAGTGTTGCAAAATGGCACAGTCACCGTACCTGTTCTTTCGGTTCCAACACATGGATTCCTGCAATATGATTGCTGCACAAAAAAATCAGTAAAAATAGTCACGGACCAGAGACTTGATGTCAGAGATAGTACGTTTAACATGGAGAAATAAGGATATCCAGCGAGTACTAGTCACTGAATATAAGATAGTCGGTAGAAAAGGCGGCTGGCACCGATCCACTCCCATTAGAGGTTCGGCAGGGCTATGTTTCAATGTAAAACCGTATTTATTTTCTATGTCGTAATCCTTATGTACAGCTATCATGGACAACCGTAAATGATCTCGTTCATTGTTTATTCTTTTTACTGGTTTTAAATTCTCAGCGTTTTATAATTGTATAAGCATTGGGTGGTATTCATCGTTGTCTTCTACTGATTTCTTAGTTTCTCCTGGAACTAAATGATAGAGATGACTAGATTAGATTGCCGGATAGTAATGCACGTTTTTTCTTGAAGCTTATTCTTAGACACACATTTCTAAGCCGAATAAGAGCATTGATTTTAGAATTATGAGAATTTGCATCTTTTATCAAAAAGATCGCATTGCATATTCTGCTACGAAGGCAAAAAAGTCGCTAGACTCTGTCTTTGCTTGACATTTCTGTCCATACTTGAGATGATCTGGATTAGGTAACGATTGTTGTATAAGCTTGACTTGGCAGAATTTGCAACCGTTCTTTCAGTTTTTAAAGGGTCAAGGTAGAATTTGTGGTTTTTTACAGTGATGCAAACGATTACATAAAAGTGGTTTCCAGAGAAATCCGCTTGTAATTAGCTGCTGTCCAAACTCGTGCCGAAGACCAGCCCTTGGTCGGCTGGCAACTTTTTCGGCACTCTGTAATTCATTCATTGACAGTTGGAGAGCCATGTGCATATTATTTATCGCAGCTTTCTTTCGTCGTTCTTAGGCCTACTTTGATATCAAAAAAAGCTGCTCGTTTACCTTTATCTTTGTGTAGCTTGGGGTTCTAGAGACTTGTTGAGTGAAAGAGCGTGAACTAAGCTTTTTTAAGAAAATTTCCCAGAACTAAGATGTTTCTTTGCTGCCTAGAAATGTATCAACCTTGCGATTAAAAACGTGCATGAAATGCCGGTAAGCAATTATTAATAGCAATAGAAAGATTTGTTTGTAACATGAATTCTTTAAGGTCTTATTGTTCTGTTATCACAATATTTTATTTTTACCGCTACTATTTTGCTCAAGCCGTGACATTAAAAGGCTAACATCAAATAAATCTGATCGAGTCCTCTCAAGTATAGACTTTCGAATGCTTTGACTCACTCAGTCGGTCCAGCCAGAAATCGTAATTTTAAATCACTGCAACAGATCGCACACAAATTCATGAAACAAGAGTGACTGTTGGTCAAAAGGGCCATGGTCTGTAACTTACACATTCTACTTTGCAAAAAAAA